ACTGTATCCTGTATCATTTATTGAGTTATCGAAGATACTTCTGATTACATAATTGCTTGCCAATAAACAGCTTATTACAGGATATTTTGAAGTCTGCTACTCCCGTCTTGCACGAGGAACATGCTTATTAATTTCACAGCCTTGTGGATACTTGACCCACAGTTCAAATAAATAATTGTTTTTCGCTTGTTACTTTTGGGCTTCGGTTTGGCGTCGTCTATCGGTTGCTTTTCTCACCTCACACACACCTCTCTTAATCCGAATCCGTATTCGAATCCAAGTCCAACGACAACGAGTCTTTGAGGGGGCGCGGTCGTCTGGGAAAACACCTCATTGACATTTGCATAAAATTCAATTGGCTGCCATGTTTATTACCTATGTTTATTTAATGTTGTGTGTTGTTGCCATTAAACATTAATAAGCACAAAATAATGTTAATAATGTCATCATAATAGTCGTCGCCGCATCGCGACCCCCCGCTGGCATCGAACGACGAAAGTTCGAGGCCCACCCAATGAATGGGATGTTTTTAATGCCTTTCCTAGCCGGTTTCGATGCCCGGTCATTTGCCATGAATTTATTCATTAGATATTTATGAGTGTTTGCGGCGAGCCCAAACGAAAATTCAATTCGTTCGTTTGTTAACAATTTCAATACCTGCAATTACCTCCATATCCGTTTTTCGGTGGTCTTCTCTTCACATATGTATGTCCCTGCCGGCGCCACACTTGGCACCCTTCAGTTGACAGCGGACATTGAATAGATATGATATGCATATGTTTTATTATTGGTGTCCACATAGTTGTAAATGACAATTCATATTTGTACTTATGCTCTTGTGAGGTCATATAAAACATTTCCACTTAATCGGAATGCTTAAATGAATCAGTGAAAAAACGCGGCTATTTCCAACACTGGTTTCCAATCTTAAATTATTTAAGAAAGTGCTAAGAGTAATTTATGTATTCCTAACTCCGTTATGTGAACCTTTTCACCTTTTCTCCATTTCTCAATTCACGATAAGCTCTGAGAATAATCTGGCTGATTATCCCATTTTATAAATTGCTTAAATAGTAACAAAACAAAAATAATTTGTAACAATTAATTTAACCGCCAATTATGTGCAATAATTTATAGGATTTCATACATACTTGGAATAACAAAACTTGAATATTGCATGGTTCATATTGATTATTAATTTGTTTGTAATTGGATTTCATAATAGGATTCACCTTGATTAAATCCATTGTCAAACTTGGTTCTCGTTTAGCGTCAAAGAAAATGTATTTTCACAAATAGCTAGAACCTATTTAAATACCCTATAAATATTCGAATGCCGAATCGCATTAAAGATGCCCAGTCTATTGATATTGGACAGCCAAGGCGCCTTTGTTGACCAAGGCACTTAGCGGGGCATTGAGAGCAGTTAGCGGCGCACTAACAAACTGACAAAAAGGTAAAACGCTGGAACTGGCCGAGTCAAAGGTGCAAATTGGCAGTCAAACAAAGGCGCAAGCAGTTGACCAATTAGCGTCATGGCAACCCAAGCCGAGAGCAACCTCCTTCCACCACCTGCTTTCCATATGGCGCTCGGCCCAACGGAAGACAATCAATTACAATTACTTATTTATTGCTTAGTTACAAAACTCACAAGCGAACAGCTCAAATATTGACGCAGCGCTAAGCGCCGTCGGATGAAGGGATTGGTATTGGGTTTGGGATTGCAACTGGGATTTGGCCCAGGCCAGGTTTGAGCTTAGCCTGGTTATGGGTAGAGAGAGACTTCTTGAGCTGCACAAGTCGCTCGAGTCAACAGAATTGACATTTCGAGTTGACGGCAATGATGATGTGTCTGTGTCTGTGACTGTGAGTGTGAATGTGAATATGGATGTGGATGTGCATGTGGATGTGCATGTGGCTGGTGTTGGATATGTTGGCGTTGACTTCTTCTGAAAATGTAGCCAAGTGTGGCTGCCTGGCATTTGCCGGGCATTTGAATGTTTGTTTAGGCCAAGTTGGCAGCGCATGAGATGCGCTTTGCCAGCCCCTGTAGCGCCAGAGCGGGACAGCAGCGCTCACTTGAAGGTACTCCATGAGTCCATGAGATACCCAGGCACCGAGCCGAGTCAAACTCAGCGCCTGTCTGTTGGCCATAATTGAGTGCACTTTCCATGGAACTGGCAGCGATTATGAAATGCCAGCGACTGCAACTGCAACTATAGCCTCGCAAATGGCGCACATCAGACATAAAAGCTGTGCCCGGGCACCTTAATGCTCCCAAGCATACACTATATATATCGGCTGGAACGATTGCATTTTATTATCGCATCGCATCGTAAATCAATTGATAAAGCGAAGCGGAAACAAGTGGCAGCTCCAATTGCCCATTACGGCAAATAAATCTAGAAGACGCCGCCAACTTTTTCGACATTTACTAGATGCACACAAATATAATTTGTATTAGTTCGTGCACTCGAAAAAACTGGCTAAATCGGAAGCAATTGATACGAAATAAATATTAATTTAAGACATTCGAAACAAAATATTATTTCAAATTGATTAAACACAATTCTGCAATCCGAGTTGACGACAATTGGAAGTTTTCGATCTGTGAGCTATAAAATCAAAAATTGGCTTCTTGGCTCCGGTTTCGCACAGTGCAGCCATCATGACAACGAGACTTTGTGCGACCAGCAATTAATACGACAAACTGTAAAATGCCGCCTCGGAGTTGTAGGCAACCAAAACGCAATTAGCGAAGGGGCTGCCACGTGGCGATATCAAAGGGGAAGCTGTGCCTCAAAGGCGCATAAATCACAGACGCTAAGGCGAGCCGGGGGCTGTGCTGCCGGGAGGGGGGATCGCCCACACAGCGAGGAGAATGTGGCATGGGGATGAGGCTGAGGCTGACTTATGTGGCATAAGAGCATATATGAGCACATATGGTTTTTTGTGGCTTTTTAATAGCCGATCTCTACATTGTATGCGCAATTGAAATTCCACAGTCGAAAAGTGAAATTCGGTGTGTCACTTGGCAATTTCTGCTAATTAGAAGTGTTGAAACATCCCTTTGACTAGCTAATGCCGAGCGCCAGTTTCAGATCCAGATCCAGATCCAGTGCCAGCTCCAGCTAATTTCCGGCTCGTTTGAGTCGAGTCGAGTCGCATCGATCGAGCAGGCCCCACCAGATGCAATTGTCTAATTGGTTCATTACGTGCGCAAATGGATTTGCGCCTCTATAATACGCCTGATTTAAGCTGTTTTGAGGGACGGGCAGGGGGTGTGGCATGCGGCATGCGGCATGCGGCATGCGGCATGTGGCAACGCATTTACGTACGCTCGCACATAATCGTATTTCTTTCTTTTCGCGAGCATTTGGCGCAATTAGCGTTGGCATTAATTCATTTTATGTGGCCCGATCTCTGCCAGATTCGCATCAGCATCAGCTGCACACATCAACGCTTGCCAGTAAATGTCAGCTGCCGATCTGGTGCTCCCCTCCCATCCTCCCACTACAAGTTTGTCTGTCTATGCATTTTGTATTTTGTATTTTGAATTTATTTTCAGCAAATTAACGCGCGCCGCTCGGCATCTTGGCCGCAATTGCCGCAAAATCTGTGCTAATAAATCATTTGATGTAGTTGCTGCTGCTGTTGTTGTTGTCGATGTTGTTTTTGTTGTTGCTGTTGTTGTTGTTGTTGTTGTCGCTGCTGGGTGCAGTTTCATTTGATGGCACCGTGTTGTCTTGTCACAATATTTGTTTATATGAGGATTTGCTTTTAATTAAATGGCAGCATCAAATCGAATTGAATGCTGTTGCCGTCAGTCAGCCTCATCCCCCATCCCCAGCCCCATCCTCGTCCCCATCCCCTTTCCCATTTTTATGCACATCAAGCTCATCATTCTGCTCATTGTCCTCATTGGGCTCATCCTAAACCGTGCACTGTGATTGTGCAATTAGCGAATCAGCATCCCCCACCTCAGCCCCCCCTTCACATTCTCTCAGACCAGTTGCCAGTCTCCGACTTGCTCCCAGTCTCACCCTCGACTGGTGACAAGTTTACATGATTTAAAGTTGCGCCGACGACGAAGACGACGACGGCGACGGCCTTTGATGTGAATGCGAATGTGGACTTGTCATTGAATAAAGGCGACGACGACGATGGCTAAGGCGCCTGTCTCGCACACGGGTTCAGTAGCTCGGCTATGGGATGGGACTAGCCTATTAACCTGAATGCTGTCATATCACAGTCGATTAACCCGCTATTTTCATATTCAAGATTTGCCGCTGTCAAAACCTGAGAAATGAGACTGCATTCGAACGAGTAGGAAATTAATCACATACTCGTATATCAGCAACATTTACTGCAGGTATAAAACATTAACTTACGACTTTTAATCGTTTTATTATGCACAATCTATCAAATGGAATAATTTAAGTCTTCCGTGAAATACCTATTTAAACGATTAATTTGGCTTTTTATAAGTCAGAATCTATAATTTGCACAAGTTTTATTTATTCGATATTCAAAAGACTTCATTGTTACATATTTTGGTTCAATTAAGCTGATCAATCTAGCCCAGAATTGTAATATTTATTCAGACTTAGTCAGATTGTTGCTTTGTAATAGGAGGAATATGTGAGCTCGAAAGTCTGTCATGCATAACTTTTAGCAAATCTTTATTTAAATATCATTATATAAAAAAAGTTACGCTTTCATCAATCCTATTCATTCCCTGCCCATTAAATTGTTACTTTAGTTAAGAAAGTTCCATTTCTAGCTGCAGTTTTATTGGCGACTTTTATCGCTTTGAAAACATAAATAAATAAAACCGCATTATTTAATTTTTTTAAATAGTTTTTTATTTTAATAATTTTTTTTATTATTCGTGTTTTTGTTTTTAGCACATGGATTTCGGATAAATTGCTTTTGTGTTTTATTTTGGGTGCATTTGAATTTGTATTTATAATCTTTTTGTTTTTATTTTTTTTAAGCATTTTTCATCCACAACATTTTCGTTTTGCGACTTAAAAACTAGAAATACTTCTTCGCCGAAGCGCTTAAATGTGTTTTTCTCTAAGCTATAAATTAATCTAATGAACTTTTAAATTACTTATAACACGTTAAGCATACATATATTGAATTATAGATACAAAATAAGAAAGTGTTTGTTTAGCTAGGAATTAACGTTTTTGTTAGCTTTTGGTTAGAATACAAGACTGCAAAGCAATATTTATGAAGAAGGGGGCGCTACCCCTAAGAAGGCCTGCAGAAAAGGAGAATAATACTTTCTGTGTAGCTTAAATAACAACGGAGAATTGAACTCGAAGCTTATAGATAGCATACGATACGATACGATACGATACGATACTTTACGAGACGATAGATGTATATTACAATTATATCACATGAACACAGTTTTGTACGCCGCACAAATTCACAATCCACCAGCCATCAGCCAGGAGCGAGGGGATGGCGCCTTTTAATATTGCACACTGAGGACCAGCCGGGTGTAGGGAGCAGGAAGCAGGGAGCGGTAGCCATTTACGGAATCTGCCCGTTCATGCGCATCTCGAGCTCCTCCTCCTCTTTGGTCAGCGGCACCGTCGTATGGTTGTAGAGACCCTGGGCCATCAGCTGGAGGGCCAGCGGATTCTTTGAGCCCGTCGACTTCTTGATTTTGGCGCGCTTGTTCTGGAACCAGATCTTGATCTGTGCCTCGTTCAGGCCCAGCTCGGAGCTCAGCTGCTGGCGGCGTCTTTCGGTGAGGTAGCGATTCTCATTGAATTCGCGCTGCAAGAGATAGAGATAGAGATAGAGAGAGAGAAGGCAAATGGTGAGTATCGGCTGCGCAATAAAAGGCAACTAGGGTCGGGTCAGCTCTGCGCCAAAGAGAACGAGTGCGTTAATGTTTTCAGTGTAGGTAGAGGCTGAGGCAAATCAATTATTTGCGGTTTAGTTGAAAGACGGGTAGTGTGAGTGAAATATGAGCATGTCCAATTGGCTTAGCCGAGGACACTGCCAGGATGCAGCCCAGCGGGCGGCCACACTAAAGTGTCTAAATATTTTGGCTGTAAATATGACACAACACACCAATTTGCTGGGATATCTGTGTGTGGTGTGTGTGTGTGTGGGTATCTGGGACTGCTTACCTTGAGGCGTGCCAATTGCTCGCTGGAGAAGGCGGTGCGTGGACGCTTCTCGTCATTGGTCTTGTCCTTTGGTTGCTTGGGGCGACGATAGCGGGGTCCTGCAAAGAATAATAGAAAAGTTAGTCGAGCGAAAGAAGTTATGGCTGCATATATTTAATGTTATTAATGGTTTAATTAGCATACACTAAGAACTAAAAAAAAACTTGTGGCATGCAACGGCCTAGCCGCATGTTCAATTTGTCAGCTGTCAGAGCTGCGTCTAACGAACCAAGCGGAAGGAACGGCCCGTTCCGTGCAGGGAACGGGGCACGACATTCGCCATTTCAGCCCGACTTTAATTAATATGATGAGCGCCAAAGTTCAGAGGGCCAGTTCAAAACAGACAGACAAACGCGAGAATGACTTAATAATCCCGGCTGCTTAGTACGATATTTAGCTAATTGACTAGGGGCTTTCTCTAGCTAATTGGCAGCTGGCCAACGATCGCCGAGTGCTAAAGCTGAGGCTGATTTAAATTTAGTCTTGGGCCTGGACTTGGGCTTGTTTTTGCTTTGCTTTGCTCTTTAGCAGCAATCGTCGACACATTGTAAATTATAATTTAATTGCTCGATTGCTTAGATGATTTGATTAATCTCGCAGCCGCTAATCGGCGGCTATCAACGCCTTGTTGTTGCCTGTTTCTATACGATTCCATCGACACCAAATTAAAAAACCATTTCGAGTCATAAAAAAGCACTTAACTTGTCAATTAACGCATCGCAGCAATAACACCAACACCAATACCCACACACGCACACACACACAGATACTGCTTGGAAAAATGATTTTTCCTTTGGCTGCTTCTAGTCTTTTGTGTCTGCTCTTTAATGGGCACTTTCACCGCACGCTCGCACTTCGGGAATCGGGAATTGGGATACGGGGATCTGGGATCGTCAATCGTCAGCGCGTTTTAGTGGCAGCGAGAATCGTGACATGTGACCTTCGACTTCTTGTCTGCGGCGATAGGCAAACGAGCCGCAGCGTCCGCCTGCGCTGCATGTTGTCACATAAAGTGTCAGCTTCAAAGGCACAAGCGCTGCGTGCGGCCAGCCCCGGCGGAAGGCCCCGCACTCCCGGGCCCCTAAGAACAAAAGCAAAAAACGCACTGCCGACAATCGAAATTCGACAACTGACAATTGAACCCCGGACATTTAATTGTCCCAGTGTCCTTCGGCTTTATGACAGAAAACAAGGCAATATCCACAAACACGGCTTGAAAGGCTGCCGCTTCTCACTGCGTTGGGGGTGGTCCCACGCACACACAATATCATGTGTAGGACTCATAAAGGCAATTGGACAATAATTTATAATGTAGGATCTAATGAAGGAGCTAATAGGCCAAGCCGAAAAATTATTGATTAGCTTCCAGTAGGATCTTCCATAGTTTTCCATTTGATATTGCATCAGCACTTCAAATTTCTTCTAATATCTGATCTAATGAAGGTCTAATGAATTATTATGCAAGCCCAATAGGCTATTCTATAGTTTCCCATTTGATATTGTATCCGTTTTTCAAATTTCTGCTAAGTATTATTTGATATTAATGTCTGACGAGGGCTCTAATGAAGGTCTAATGAATTATTGACAAAGTTCCAGTTGGCATTACTCTAATGTCCTATTTAATTTTAGTTCTTCAACTCTCTTCAATTTCCTTCAGAATTATAAGTCTCACCGACTTGTCCTTAGATAAATTCCTACAGTTCCTAGGCTCAATAATTCATATGATTCCTATTCCCTTGGAATAGTTACTTAAGAAGACTTATTTATTATTTTCTTATTTATGTTTTACAAACCTGAGCTGGGACGGTCGCTGTACCGGGTGCAGTACACCCACGCAGGCCACATCTCGTTCTTGCCGCCGTCGGTGGTGGTAGAACCTGTCTCGGAGCGGGTGTCGTCCGAGGACTCCATGCCGGAGTCGCGGCTGACAGCGGAGGGCGGTGGTATGGGCTGCGGGCTGCTCGCATTATTGGCTCCGGCCAGGCGGCTGCTGGGCGACGAGTTCAGCGAGCTGGCCGCCGAGGAGCAGCCGGAGGAGGAGGAGGCGCTGCAGCTGGCTGCTGTGGAGGAACTGCTGCTGATGGTAGATGCATTCGAGGCGGGCGGAGGACTGGCCAGCTGGCAGGCGCTGCTGCTCGGCGTCGTCACGGGCGTCGTCGACTGCGCCTGGCCAATTTGCGAGACCGTCTTGCACAAGGAGCCCAGGGCCGACTTCTCCACGCTGGGTTCCGTCAGCTTCGCCGTCGGCGGCAGCACGGCATTCGGATTGCCAGCTGCACTGCGGCGCAGCCGACTTTGGACAAGCTCCTCATGGATGCGCGGATAGGCGGCCGGGTTAAAGCAGTTCAGCAGATTGGCGCGCTCCAGCATCATCGCAGCGGTGGCAGCTGCGGCAGCTGCTTGCTGCTGCCGGCTGAATTCCAGCAGATCGACGCGAGTAAACGCGGAGGGCGTGGCTGCGGCAGCGCGACTCGCCTCGAACGGGCGGAAGATGCTGGCCGCAGCGGCGGCTGCGGAGACGGAGACGCCAGTGGAGTCGCCTTGTTTGGTCTGTTTGGCGGCATCGCCGAAGCGGTCGCTGAGGATGTTGGAGATGGAGAAGGCCAGCGAGGGCTTCGACTGCTTAGACTGCTGGTGAGCTGGTGGGGGCAGACGAGCGGATCCAGAGACAGAGGCGGTGTCGTCCACATCAATGTCATCGTCCTCCTCCTCGTCCTCTTCTGTGGCCGTGGTAGCTGTCTGGTTGTGGAAGCTGTCCCCGAGAATCGAGTCGCTCTCCTCCTCCTTGATGGTCAGCGTCGAGGCGGGCGTGGAGCAGGCGCCCGTCGAATGAGCTCCCGGCGAGCCGCTGGCGCTGAGCCGTTGCTGCAGTGCAGCAGCGTGCAAAGCAGCCGCATCGAACGCAGCCGAAGTGGCCGGGTGATGAAAGACGCCGGCAGAGGCGGCCAGCTGCTGCTGATGGAGCTGCTGCAACTGCTGCAGCTGGTGCAGATGCTGCAGCTGCTGCTGCTGGTAAAGGGTTGCCGCCGTGGCAGCTGTGCCCGGCTGTAGACTCATGTCAAGCGCGGTGATCGAGATTGGGATTGCGTGGATTCGCAGATTCGGCTGGAGAATATGCTGGTGCTGCTGGGGCGGCGACTGCGGCAAACAACCTGGTGGACTGGGCGCTGATTGTGGACTGCAGCGATCCTCAAGGGCCATTTGTTAACTTGACGCGCGGCTTATCAACGTTCTACACCTCTTATCCACTTGCTCTTCTTCTTGTTCTTCTTCTTCTTATTCTACTGCTAGTTGTGCACTTTTCACTGAATTCACTTCGCGTGTGGGTTTTCAATTGGCAACTGCTTGCGTTTGTTTTTTTGTTTTGTATCTTTATTTACTTGTATATGCGTTTCGTACTCGTGTTGCTTTTGCTGTTCCGACAACTGCGACGCGCACGTCTGTTCCATGCGAGCTCAACGACTAAATTAACTAATCACAGTTGCCTGCCGCTGCGACGAAGCCAGCAGAAGCAGGCAGCGACCGATTGAACTGTCAGCGCGAGAGAGAGACAGTCGACTGTGCTCGGCATAGGGTGCATGCACCGAAGCACATGTGTATGTGTGTGCGCAGATTCGAGTCTGAGCGAGAGCAAGAGAGACAGGGCGAGAGACAGCGTGAGCGCACGTTTGTGTCGTCTGGCCTCTGACAGTGACGAAGACGATACTCAAACTTCGACTGTTCGACTGATCGATTGGCAGAGCTGCTGCTGCTGCTGCTGCTGTTGAGGCCGCTCTCAGCTCTGCTCTCTCTTGGTGCGCAAATTTTGTTGTGACACTCTTCGTTGTCACCTGTAATCTGACAGCGAGACAATGTTTCCAGTCAGCGCAGTACAAGAGCGAACCAACGGCGAACCGGTTTTTGGAATTCGTTTGCTCGCTCTTTTGCTCGCTCACTCGCGCGTTCGCTTGCCTACTCACTCACTCCGCCTTCACTCCACGTTGGGGCCCGCGCTTGTTAGGGCTCGATATGACTTTATTATTGGGAGCTGTCATGTGGTTGACAACTGTGTCGCTGTCTGCGTCTGCGTCGTCGTCGCTGCCTCGTCGCTCTCTCGCAGTGGGGCGTTGCCAGGCACCACTATGGCTGGCCCGCTCGCACACACACGCGCATGCGGCGGAAAATGGCTGCGTTTGTTGGTTTTGCTAGTTGATTTATCAAACTCGAGCGCGCGTGTGAACTGGCGCTGTCTCTGTCTGCTGAAACGGTTGAGTAAGTATCGCACCCCGCCCCACCCCTGCCTCTTCCACAAACACACTGATGAACACTCTTCATAAGCATTTAGTTGTGTGTTGTGTGTTGATTTTGTTTTTGGCCACGACGTTTCAATCTGTGCCTACAACTTTATCGACACCCGGACGGACAGAATGATCGACAATCGACAATCGACGAACAGAACTGCGGCATCAATTAATACACACACACACACACACACACACACACACACATACGCACATTCTGTATAAATTTATACATATTTTGAATGCCTTGATTTATTTTTATATCAGAAAAGCGAACCGCGAACCAATTAACGCATTCAATGAAGCGCGCAGTTTGGCCAATTAATTGATATTTAATTGATTTTTAATTAATTTATTTTAATGGCACACACTGCCGCACACATATTAAATATCAATTTATTTATCAGTCTCATCGGAGCGCGGCCCATTAGCTCCAGTTCGAGTCAACATAAAACGTGTTAAAAACTAATGCGATTTGGCATTGATCGGCAACCGAAAACAACAACAACAACAACAACAACAAGTCTCTAATCAAAAGTCACATCTACGAAAATGTGAAACATGTGTATCAAAATATATATATATCCACATATGCTTAAATGTAAATACAAAACATATATACGCTGATATATGGCACATAAATCAAAAGTCGATAAAAACCAGAAAAATAATTTAAGAAGAAAAAAAAGACAAACGCAGAGCTCGCTAATGAATTTCATTAAAAATTGTTATTTATTGTTAATATTTCTTAGGCATTAACTTCTTTTTGTTTATAACAATTTCAATTAGCGGCAAGCACTGATTAAACTGCAGGTGTAGGCTTGTGATTTATTCGACTGCACGAGATAAAATGAAGTGAATTTGGAAAGTCAAGCTGTCGCATAATTATCCTAATACGAATACGAGCTGACTTCTGCTGATTTCCTGTTTGCGTTTATTATTCAGACATAATCAATAGGCAAAACGCCCCAACAATAGCCCCACAGCCATATGAAGAGTAAGAATTTCAAATTTCGGTTGGTTTCGGTTTTTGTTGTTGGCAACCCGTTTATGGAATAGCTGGAATGGCCACACAATTTATGTTATTATTATGCGCATTTTGATTGAAATTTCTGCAAATAAATAAATATTTGAACAATATATAAACTATTGTTGGGCAGTCAAATTAATTAAATGGCGATAAGGCCACGAAAGTGTTAACAGCAGCTTAACCGTTTCGGAGTTAACCGTTTCGAAAGCGCGCTTCCAGTCCATTCGGCAGTCAGCCATTACGAGCCACTGGAAAGTCGAAAACCATAAGTTCGAACTTGACACACGCGCACAGCTAGCTGGTCTGCTCGCACCCATGGCCAGGCCGCATGCAGCTATTAATGAGCGCCAGAGAGCACCGAAACAATGGCTGCTGCTGCTGCCGCTGCTGCTGCTGCCGTCGGCACTGAGCGACAATAAAAGCAGCTGTTGATTTTTCCGCTCACCAGCGCACCACCCCTCAGAAAGCAGTGCAGTGTTACGGTTTTATTGCCATGATTTTCAATTATTACTGTTGTCATGTTTGCTTTGGATTTGCGTGCTCGACAAGCGATGGCCACAAAGGGTTAAACAGCCGCCGACAGTTGCGTAAAAACGCGTTAATTAAAGTTTTTAACTTGTTTTTGATTACACATGTACTTTGTATTTTGTTTTCTTTTTTTTTTTTGTTTCTCCATGTATATGTCGGCTTGTATCTAACGAAGAGAAACGAGCTCGGGGAATTGCCAACTGCTAATGAGCTGGCTGCGTTATTTCTTTCATTTTCTCCACACCTGGCTACTGTTTGTCCCTAATGATTTCCTATCTGTTATACTTTTTCGCTCCGGGCAATAAACTAAAAACAAATGCAATATACGAATGCACATTGTAGACATATGTACGAAAAACGTAATCTTAATTGCAGCTACAACTTAATTTGACCAACGACATTTTCGGCCCACTGACAATCCAGGTAATTAGCGCTCGCATATCTCATATGCAATTCCCGCTCCACATTTAAATACATATTCACCAAAAAAAAAAAAAAAAGCGAAAAACCAAAAAAAAATAACAACACATGTCCGACACGGCGGCCACGAGCGCGCCCTCTGGCGGTCATCGACGCTAAACGGTTTCTCCGAGTCTCACTTGGAGCCCCAGCTGCGTGTGTGTGCGTGTGTGTGAGTGGGTAATTTAAAATTCATATTTTACACACAAGAAACGCGTATATCCGTGCGTCGGGCTTGTGCTGAGTGCCAGCGAGCGGCGGCGAGAGTTATTAATGATGCCAGCCTGGACAGTACACGGCGCAGGTAAGTATATTTACGAGCTAGTATCGGTATTAAGCCCCCAGTTGTTCACGAGGCCCCAATTCCCTCATTTGTGTGCCCTACCCGCCGCAGAGTACGTGAAAATGCAATAAGCATTTGTATCGGATGATAATTACTGATCATTGTTTATATCATTATTATCATTAGTATTACTTTTATTATCATCATTCGGATAATCAAAGAAAATGTGACTGCAATCCGAGTTGCAAAAGAACACATTCCCAATTTCAGCATTGCATCTTAAGCACAATTTCTGAATATACTGTGTATTAAAATATAATATAATAATTTATTTAATATTATATTAAGCCATTTTTGGCCTCTCAGCAAAATGTATATTATGTCATACTCAATGACTTTTTATCGTGTTTTAAAATGACTTCGTAAAAAATCGCAATTAAAATATTTTATGAATTTTATATGAATCAACCATTCATTTATCAAGAAAGGTTTACGGTCTGTGCTTAAATAAAAAAAGAATATTGACTTAATTTAATATAATTTAGTTGATAATATTGCTGATAAAATCGAATTGTTGTTTCCGTTGCGCACATTGTAAATATTTGTTTTCCAAGAGTATCAACATTTACAACAAATTGAAACAAATCTAAAATATATATTTAGAGTATGATTTAGTCAATTTACTCTTCTGTTCGCAAACATAATGTATTTTATCGCAAGTGCTTAAAACAAAGAACAGATATTCTATGTACTTCATTCTGTGCCTTTCACTTGTATCTCCGTGTCACTTGATTGGGAAGAGTATTTGAGTGTCGTTGTGTTTTTGCGTTTTAGGCGCGTTTGCTGACTTGTGCCTTGGCTTTAATTAAAATTTAGCTTGATTCGTAAATCGTTTGCCAACAAGTTAAGCATTTCCCTCGCTGATCGCCGCCCGCCTTGAGTCTTGAATCTTTAACAATATCGCTGGGGGCCTTAAAATAATTTAATATTTTTTAAAAATACATTTTTTGCTGTTGTTGTTGTTGTTGCGCCCGATTGTCCCCTTTGGTGGTTGAATGCGTTGTGGGTTAAATGTTAATGAACTTGTTGATTATAAATTTGACTACTTTATTTGCCGGCCAGCTAATAGAAGAGGAGTACAGCCAAACGGGTTTCCCAGCTCGGCCAGAGATAGTTATTAGTTTATGTGGCCCCTCGCGGAACTTAGTCGTATTATTTTCCATTGGCCATTTTACGAGCATAGCATTTCAGAGAGCGCAAAATTGCCAAATAAAAATCAGAAATAAATGTTATAAAAAATCGAAAAGCCAAATAAGCCGAGAGTCATAACTTTTTTTATGACTTCATCACTTTGCGGCAACACGAATTTGCATGCGTTTGCCAGTTTGTCAATTTGGCCAAAAACGAGCAAACAACACAACAACGCAACGTGTTTTCAATCAATTAACAGCTATTTAAACGTATTTGTGCTGTGTTGTGTTGTGTTTTTTTTTCTTCCAGCATTTATTTTTTGGTGAGTTTCCGTTGCAGCTGTTGTTGTTGCTGCTGGCTTTAAACAAACTCGAGCGGCTGTGGCAGCAGATTTAATTTGCGCTTGTAATTTACCAAAATTGTATTTCTCAGCTAATTTGTCAATTTGCCTACGCTTGTTTATGAGCCGGCTCGTTAAAGTCGCTAATTGGAAGCTAATTCCAAAGATTTGCAGCCAAATGCTTAATATCTTACTTTATTGTTTAAACAATTTGCTTAATTATCGCTTTCTTTGTTGTTGTTCTTCTTCTTCTTTGCTGAAATCGAAAGTTGCGTCCGAATGGAGAAAGCGTTACTCGAAATTGCAGCATCGGCAAGTTTGTGTCCTAAGTCTTTCGTTTGGGAGACCTTGCAATTTTCCG